CCGGGGCCTGCGTCCCGCCGCGCGGCCGGCCTGGGACCCGGGGCTGGTGACAGTCCCCGCTGCCCTGGGCAGTGACGCCAGCCGGCCGAGCAGAAAGTGGGGTGTGGGGTCTCCACTGCTGCTCGCTGGGTACTGAGGGAAACAGGGCGCGGGTCAGGGGACACCCGTGAGGCCAACGCAAGTATTGCCTCTTCTTTATTTCGGGGGGTGGGGGGGGGTCGGGAGCTTCTCCTGCGAACCCCGGGACTGTTCTATCTGCGAACACGACCGTGAGGTCGCTCTGGTCGCAACAAACCTGGATTTCAGCGGCTGGGGAGAAGGGCTCAGGACGTCCGGCACCGACTGAACTCGCCATCCTCTCAAAACTCATTGTTGTTCATTGACTCGCGGGGTGGTTGTCAACGCAGGAAATACTCCGGCCCAGGCCCCCTTCCAGCTTGCGGCGGGTGGGCAGGAGTGTGCGGGAGGGAGACACAGATCCCGGTTTGCGCAAACTGAGGCCCTGGTCCCATCTGCCCGGAGCTCAGGGACTAGCCCGGATCTGCGGTCAGAGAGCGGCTGGCTTCCCAGAGCTCATTTGTGGCCCTGCTCTCCCTCCTGGGACAGGCATTGTGGATTGCCTTTGGAGCCAGGTCCCTTGCGGGCCTGGCGGGGACAGACTGTTTGTTGGACACCTGGTCTTGTTGGGGAACCATGTCAAGTGCTAGAGTGAAGAGAAATACGGGAGCCTGTGGTAGGGGACACTTCATCTGCATTGGGGCTCACAGTGGACTTCCTGGAGGAGGAGGCGCTCCTCTGAGTCTTGAGGGCCAGTGGGGTGAGGGGGGTGTGTGTTTCAGCCAGAGGGAGCAGCTTGGGGCAGGAACCCTGGGCCTGGAGTTGGGGGTGGAGGTTCATCTCAACTTGGAGTGGGGGGTGCCCCAAGCCAAACTACTTGGGGTCAAGGGCCACTCCTGCCGATCACTCTGTGGTGTTCTTCTGCAGATGTGGATGAATGTGCCCAGGGGCTGGATAACTGCCACGCCAATGCCCTGTGCCAGAACACACCCACCTCCTACAAGTGCTCCTGCAAGCCTGGCTTCCAGGGGGAGGGCAGGCAGTGCCAGGGTAAGTGGCCAGGGCCAGAGGTGGGTGGGTGGGCCAGCCGGGCAAGTGGCTCACCCCCTTGCTTCTCCGAGTGGCTGCTCATGCTGTTCAAAGTTCTACCCCTCCCCCACAATCACGTCCACCTTGCCGCCACTGCCCAGGATGCATTTCAGAGTCCTAGGGGCCTGGGAACGTTCGCTCTTCAGAGGAGCTGGCCGCGACACCCTTTTGTCTGCCTTTGACTCCTTCCCTATATCCAGCTTCTGACAAGGAAAGCGGATGTGTCTCTTGGTCCTATTCCGTTTGGGAAGAGAACGTACCCAGTGCGACCGACCAGGAGAGCACAGCTGCCAGTGCAGGGCCCGCCCTGCTCCTCTGGGACCCCGGCGCACCCTTCCCCAGAGCCTTGTGTGTTGAAGTCCTGCCCTCTCCTGCCGCTGGCAGCTCCCTCTTGTCTGTGACTTGGAGCCCTTTGGCATGTGACCCGCCAGGCTACAGAGCTATACGAAAGGTCTGTTTTGCAGGGATCTGAAAATTGGCCCTGGGAAAATGTGTACAGTGGGTGATGTTCAGCCCTTCGTGTTGTAGAGTTTGAAGCCGGAAGTCTGGACTTGGCCGTTTACATTCCTGGACCACTGGTGCCACGGAGTCCCAAGGCCTAGGGGGCCGATGTTCCGGGGATGGCAATCAGGGCATGTCGGAAGCAGCAGGACTTCTCAGGGATCTGGGCCAGTCTCGTCACTCATTTTATAGTTGGGGACACGGAGGCTCGGGGGTATTAGGACCAGGATCATACGCTTAGTTGGCTGATGATGGAAAGTCAGGTTTCTACCCCAGCTCTGACCCCACACCCCTCCTACTCCCTCAGCTTCCTGGTGTCCCCCTGCTTGGAGGAGAGAGCTTAATGTGCAGCGTTGTGTAGAGCAGGAAGAAGTCTAAAGTGAATCCAACTCCTCTCTGTACAAATCCCTCCTTACCTCTGGACCCTACCTGGACAAGCGTGCGCCTGGTCCCTGTGACCCCAAGTTTTCTGTTCTTTGCAACTCTGATGGGAAGTGAGTTTCAAATACTCAAACTTTAGTGTTCTAAGAGATAAATCACAAGGGGATGGCTTTAACCCGCAGACGTTTGTTCTCTCACCGTTTAGGAAGTAGGAGAAGGTGTTCTTTGTGTGTCTGTTCTTGGGGAAGGTCCTTGTCTCCTTTCAACAGCTGTGGGTCTAGTGTTCCGTGGAGGTCTTCCTGTGTCACTCTGTCCCCGGTCTAGGAGGTCCTCAGCGCAGGCAAGCCTAGTCCCAAGGCTGTGCTCCACTCCAGGTTCTGTCTTGGCGGTAGTAGGCTCCTTCTCTACTCACTTCTCTCTCCGTTTTCCTCTTGTCCTGGTGGTGTACTGGGCTATGCATTGGGTTGTTAAGGCTAGCAGTTCAAACCCACCAGTCACTCCATGTGAGAAAAATGAGACTGTCTGCTCCCATCTCCGATACCTAAAGGGGGCAGTTGCAATAAGCCAGAATGGACACAGTGACACAAATGGACGGTTTAGTTTTTGATTTCAGATTAAAGGTGATGCAGGCCATACCACAGAGAAAGCCCCCTGCCAGCAGATCCAATGAGGAGCTGAGGAGGGGTGATGTATACATACCACCCTAATCCCCTTCATTGATTGGCTGATTGCTTCAGAGGGTTGATCGCTTCATGATGATGAAGGCTGATCGCGTCATGAGGAAGACATCATTCCGTAATTGCCAAATGGCATCATTACCTAGCTAGCACACCACATGGCCCAGCTAAGTTGAAATACATTTTCGGGTACACAATTTAATCGGTGACATCTAGCGAGTAAGAAAGTTCCCTCCAAACACTTCACATGATTCTGTAACTTCTTTAGGTCAAGAGAGAAGCATTTAGTAAACATAAATTTGGTGCCATTTGATGGCCTAGTGATCGCCTCCTGATATTTCACAGCGATCTGTTTGATAGGATGACCTCTCTGCCATAAAGAGTCCTCGGTATTGGAACAGTGGGGCCTGGTACATGGCAGCCACGTTCTTGGTTTTGATTAAATTTGAATCAACTTTCTTGGCTCTGAATAAACAAATGTGCAAGATGGGCTTAATCACTAGAACCGTGACAAAGGTCTTCTCTAGCAAACGGACCAACCCACACATAAAATATCTACATATAGATATTATCTACATATAAATATCTACATATAGAATGTATGGCTGGTCAGCTAGCCGGGTGACTGTCTGATGTTCTTGCAGCATCCTCTCCTTGTCTCTTAGGTCAACTGAGACACATGAGCATTTCAAAATGAATTTTATTAAAAAGGAAGGGAAGACTAAAAGAAAATACAGATAACAAATATGAATAACAGATGGGATTGCAGTGGATAAATCTGGGTCGCCTGGTACTTAAAGACACCGCAGGGGTGGGGAGTGGGTGGGCAGGCACATCATTCAGGAAGCTCACCTTTCTGTGTGGAGAGAAAAGTTCTTCTCTTTCCGAGCAGGAGAGCGGTCAGGGTCATAGCCAATGAGGTGAATGGCTCATCTGTGAAGTCCTTGTGTTGCTCCAAGTTCACATTCACCAGAGACAGGCAGTCCTCTCTCTCTGCCATGGGAAGCCCAAGGGCCATGTCCTCCAGAAACGTCTCTCTGCCCAGCCTTCTAGACAACACCCGTGCCATATGAAATAGCCTATCTGGAGGGCTGCATTCACATGTTAGTGCCATGCTTGAGATAAGAACATTCACTCTTTTTCGGTTTCTTTTTATTTAGTTATTTATTTTAAAATATCATTTTATTGGGGGCTCATACAACTAATATCGCAATCCATCCATCCATTATGTCAAGCACATTTGTACATTTGTTGCCATCATCATTCTCAAAACATTTTCTTTATACTTGAGCCCTTGGTATCAGCTCCTCATTTTTTCTCCTCCCTCACCCACCCTCCCTCCCTCACAAACTCTTGATAATTTATAAATTATTATTTTTCCATGTCTTACTCTGTCTGACGTCTCCCTTCACCCACTTTTCTGTTGTCTGTCCCCCAGGGAGGGGGTTATATTGTAGATCATTGTGATCAGTTCCCCATTTCTCCCCCACCTTCCCCTCCTGGTATCTCTACTCTCATTATTGGTCCTAGAGGGTTTATCTGTCCTGGATTCCCTGTGTTTCCAGCTCTGATCTGTACCAGGTACACACTCTGGTCTAGCCGGATTTGTAAGGTAGAATTGGCATCATGATAGTGGGGGCGGGGGAAACATTTAAGAACTAGAGGAAAGTTGTATGTTTCATCAGTGCTACCCTGCACCCTGACTGACTCGTCTCCTCCCCACGACCCTTCTGTAAGAGGATGTCCAGTTGCCTACAGATGGGCTCTGGGTCTCCACTCTGCACTCCCCCTCATTCACAAAGATAGGATTTTTGAATATTCACTTTTCTATCTGCTCCAGTCGCTGGGTACTCTCTGGAGGCAGAAGTGGGCCATCATTTCGCTTAGATTCAGTTACTTTTAGTAAAGAATGTTCAATGGCAAATGGCAAGACTTTCATTCCTCTTGGCTTTTGGATTTAGTACATAACAAGTGAAAGTGAACTGCATCCAGTTTATAGTTGAAAACTCTACTATTTAGTTTCACATAACTAATTGATGGGATTTGTTGCTCCACATATTTAAATTTGCTTAAAAGCAGTATAAAAATAAACCAAAACAAACTCACTACCATTGAGTTGATTTGGATTCACAGCGACCCTATACGACAGGGTAGAACTGCCCCTATGAGTTTCCGAGACAGTGACTCTTATGGGAGTAGAAAGCCCTCTCTTTGTCCTGTGGAACTGACTGGTGGTTTCAAACTGCTGATCTTATGGTTAGTAGCCAATGCGTTGTAACTACTCTACCACCAGGACCTCCTAAAAAGCAATACACAATTGTAATAAAAGTCAAATATTACAAAATATAGACTAGAAAAGTAACAAGCTTCCTATCTTTTTATCCACAGGTAATCACTGTTAACAGTTTACTAATCCTGGTATGAGTGGATTTTAGGAATACTTGTAGTATTTATGATCCTGGAAGGCAGGGCGTCCCTGCTTTGCTTGGATTTCTTGGTTCAGGAATCCCAAATTGGACATTTGTTCCATAAGGAAAAGGAGAGACAGTGAAGGCTACAAGATTTAAAAAGTCCATCTTCCAAGGTGTAACCCCTCTATCTGGGTTCGTGGAGCCCTTTGGTATTCACCTGGTTAATATGGTGTCCCTCATTACAGAATTATTATTTTTACTCCCTTTGGAGCAGATACATGTCTTGGGGGAGATATTGTGAAATTATGCCAATATCCTTTTACTCTTAAAACCTTCATCCCCTGACAAAGGTGGCATCCGTCTGTGGATCTTGTGCAGCAGTCGTCAGTGTGGTGTGCGCTGAGCTGTGCTTTTGTATTTCTCTCTTTCATTCGACCTCAATGACTCACAGGGAGGGCCTTTGAGCTTGTGCGTGAAACCACGCCCTCTCCCCTTCCTCAGTATTTCGGTACCTGTGTTAGGCTACCTTTCCCCCAGAAACGTAAAAACCAGCATAGCACTTTCAAAAATACCTCGCAGGAGGAGGGCATGATGGGTAAACAAATGTACAAGGGTAGAAAGTAGGTGTGTGATATTTGCACAAAACTCTGACAGTTAAAATTCTGTTAGGAACAGCTCTCCCTTTTCATACATACATGTATGCTGCATGCATCCATACATCCACAGACAGACAGACAGCTGAGAGGGCTTCAGAACGTTTGAGGAAGGATTCCATTAACTTTCAGTTCCATTTTTCCATGAGTTCTTGAAGCTCCCTCGTACTTCAGTGTGTTACTCTTGAGTCAGTTCCGACTCCTAGCGACCCTGCAGGACAGCTGTACGTTTTTTAAGACCTTCTTTATTGTGAACGGAGTGAAGATTTACAGAGAATATCCGTTTTCCACTCAGCAGCTCATACACATTTTGTTTCATGTCACTGATTGCAATCCCC